AATGGCTACATCTGCTTTCTTTTTGTTTCCATTTGCATGGATTTTTTTTCCATCCCTTTACCTTGTCTTTGTAAGAGTCCTTGTGGGTTAAATGTATTTTCTGGAGATAACAAATACTTGGCTTGTTTTTTTTTTATTCATTCAGCCAGCCTGTGTCTCTTGTGTAGGAAATTCAAACCATTCATGTTGATTGATAATATTGATATGTAGGATGCTATTCTGTTCATCCTGTTGGGCAGTAGCTTATTGCTTTGTTTTATCTATTGTACTACTGCTTTATATGAGCTGTGAACTTTAGCTTTTGGATGGTTTTACTCTGGTGGGTGATATTGTGCTGTTGCATGTAGAATGCGGTTCTAAACATTTCCTACAGAGCAGGTCTGGTCTTGACAAATTCCTTCAGTGATTGATTATCTGGAAAAGGTTTTATTTTTCCTTCATATATGAAACTTAGTTTTGCAGGATATAAAATTCTAGGCTGGCAATTGTCCTGTTTAAGAAGACTGAAGAAGGAGCCTCAATCCCTTCTGGATTGTAAGGACTCCACTGGGAAGTCTGTAATTAGCTTGATGGGTTTTCCTTTGTCACTACAGTTTTTTGCCTTATGGGTTGCAGCAGTTCCTCTTTTGTGTTGACTTTGGCCAGTCTGATGACTACGTATCTCTTTGCAATGAATCTGTCAGGTGTTCATTGAATTTCCTGCACTGGGATATCTAAATCTCTGGCAAGACAGGCAAGTTTTCCTGAATTATTCTTTCAAATAGGGTTTCAAGCCCTTTTGTGTTCTCCTATGCCTATGATTCTGATATTTGGCCATTTTATATAATCCCGTATTTCTTACAAGAAACACGGTTTTGTTTATTTCTCTTAAATGTCTGTTCTTTATTTCTGACTGATTGAGTTAATTCAAAAGAGTTCTCTTTACTCTCTGAGATTCTTTCTTCTGCCTGGTCTAGTCTATTCTACAAGCTTTCCATTAGGTTTTGTATTTCCTTAAATGAATTTTTCATTTTCAAAAGTTCTATCTGTTTTTTAAAAATATGTTGACCTCTCTAGTGAACTTTTCATTCATCTTCTGAATTGGTTTTCTGGTTTCTTTACATTGATTTTCCATTTCCTCTTGAATTTTGTTGATCTTCCTTACAATCCATATTTGGAATTCTTTATCTTTCATTTGAATATTTTCATTTTGATTGGTGTCCATTGGTATTGTTCTCCTTAGGGGTTGTCCTTTCATTTTGATTCTTCGTAGATCTGGAGTTCCTTTGTTCCTTTGCTGGAGTTCCTTTCTTCTCATTGGGAGCAGCTGTTGCTTCTTATTTTGGGATTTTCTTTTATTTAGATAGGGTTTTTTCTCCTTCCCTCACTCATATGTGTATATTTGTAGCATATGTTAGGTAAGAACCTTTGGCTTTGCTTGTGGGTGCTTTGATGGTGATGTAGGTTCTGGATGGGTTCCTTGGTTATAGATATCCTTAGTGTGGCGGTTTTCTCAGTTGTTAGTTGTTTGTAGGCTGTAGAAGTGGTGAGCTATATGAGCGGGCAGATTCCCTGTCTCTCTTTGATGAAGGAGGATGGAGGTCTTTGAAATCTTTCTCTTTTCCCAGCCCTGTCTTCTTAACCACTTTGGTATGAATGTCGACTATAGTCAATAGCCACAGATGAATGTACACAGCTGAGCATCGACTTTAGTCAATAGCCGTGAAATGACTTTTCTAATTTTTCATTTATCAAAATAAAATTGTGAACATTTAAAAATAATATAATAAAACCATATATGTATATGTTACCTATTCTGATTTACATTACAAGTAAAGCTGCCTGTAAAGTAAAACAAGCTTTCAGTACTTCAAAGCTTTCGTCATCACACAAGAGCAAAACAGGTTTGTTGTCAGTACATAGCACAAACTATCTTGTGGACTATGAGTGCCAGCTGTGGGCAAGGTTTCACAGCTGGTGAGCACTGTACTGAAGTGGTTAACTTTGTGAATTGTTGTTACACCCAGTTTAATCTCTGAGACAGTAGGTGGTGCTTGTGGGTGAGACTCTAGTTCACAAATCTCCCATCCAGTCCCCTCAGCAACACAATTAAGACCTGGGACTATGGGATCTCGCCTGTGGGCCTTTCCTCTAGTTCCTGACGATCAACTGCTGACCATGCCAGAGAGAAGCATATTGGTCCTGAGTTGCCCTTGGGGTGCTCACTATGTCTGTGGTAAACTCTAGTCCCTAAGGTGGAGCACTTGAATGCCCCAGGCTTTGGGAGGGGCTCTGTAGCTCCCAGGAGGTTCTGTTATCTCCATCACCGAAAAGATAGGTGGAGGAACAAGGCAAAGCATGGTTAGCTTGCATGCATGGTTAGGTTGCATGAGTCTGGAAGGCTTTGAAAGTCTTGGCAGGGTTCAGAGGTTGCTTTTCTGGCTGCTAGAGTGAGCCACTGGGAGGAAAGTCAGGGCAGGCTCTCTAGACCCTGAGGGCTGTTCATAGGGGTGGGCAGATTGCTTGGATGCTGTGGCACTGGGCTGGGATCTTCCCTGCCAGAGAACCCACCCTTGTCCAACAGGGTGGCTTTCCTGCGGGGGACGGACTAGGTGCTCTCCCAGGTCTTGGACCCCCAGTATTTTCTCATCATCTCTGTCCACATGGACTCCCTCATCACTCTTAAACCTCCTCCCATGTCTACCAGCAACCCATTTGGGGTTTTCTGGTAGACAATGGGTTTGGGGGGCATAGGGTTTGGTCTGCACATTTGATGTGAAGGTGTGCATTCCAGCCGAATGCCCGTAGGCAGGGAGCTCCCAGATTGGGCACTCTGGGGCCACTGCAGCTCCTCTAGGGAAGAGGCATGGGCCCTGCTCTCTGTGGAGACCTCAGCCTGGATTATGTGCCGGCTCGAGAGAGGCAGCTGCTGGCCAAATTCTCGCCTCAAACTGCTTTCTGGGTAGCCATGGATGAGGCAGAGGCTGCAGTTCTTGTTCAGCCTGAGCACTTGAATGTGTCACACTTGGTTGCTGTGACTCCAGGATCTGGGCTCTTCCTTGCTAGAGGACTCACCATAATCCAACAGGGTGGGTCTCCTGTGGCGAGGATGGGCACTTTCGCAGATCACTGCATCTGCCAGGCTGCTGCTGGCTAAACTCTTGGCTCTAAGCTACCTTCCCAGTTGCAGTGGATTGGGGAGGGGTGGTAGCAGGACAGTGTCTGAATGGAAAAAATCAGCTCTCTGGCCTCTCGGGTCACTTTCCTTGGAAGAGAACCCAGCACGGGATGTCTAGCCCTGGGATCATGCAAGTTCTCCCAACTATTCCGTGTTTACTACAGTGCTTGGGCTCACCGGGGTGGAAAAGCCTCCAAGAAACTTGGTAGCCTGCTGTCACTGAAGGCATGTGGGTGGGAGAGAGGGATCCCCCTTACCCCTTCAATGGGCTCCAAGCCTCTCTGGGTTTGATCCTTACCAATACATTTTTCTTTTATGTTCTTCCTTCTCTGCTTCACAATTTTCCTCCGTGAGGTCCCTAGCAAGCTCCTGCATGTCTCTCTGTGAACTACACCTGAGCTGAGTCTTCTCTCCCCTCTCCTTTATCTGAGTCACTACCTATCCTCTGGACGGTCCGGCCAGTGATGTCTCTAGTCAGCCATCTTGCCCCTGTCCCCATTAGTCATTTTTTATGGAAAAACTTCTAAAAATCTTTCCAATCAGTGAATGAAGGTAATGTGATGAATTAGATATGCAAACCAATTTCTTTTCCTCTTCTATACCTAATTTCCTTAGATTCTCAGAACTTAAGAATTAGACTCTTTCTTTTTACATCTTTCTCTCTCTTTTTTAGCCAATCTCCTTTTCCTTTTCTCTTCTTTTCCTGTCAGTCTTTCTGCATTTCCTTTTAAAAATTATCTCCTTTCAAATAAAAAATAAAAAGGTTGTAAAAGAAAAAATGTCAACACAACACATTTCAAAAATGTTTTGAATAAGCAAGGAGAAAAAGAGGGTGTATGCAAAAAATGTCAGTGATATGTCTATTCTCTTAAGCTCCAGGATTATAGATACAGATCATTAGCAAATATATGGAATAACATGAAAATATGCTTCGCTATTTTGACCATAGTTGATAGTTTGATGCTTGCTTAGTTTAAGGTGGTGCAGAAGGTCAAGTTCAAATAACAGGTATTTATGAACTTGGTGGTGGAAGAAAATTATAATCCAAAATATATTTCTGAGATGAGATAAGGGCTAGATAAAGCAATCAATGGTAAGAATATTCACCAAGTAGAATCTATTCTAATCATATCTTTGGAGTATTGTTTCTGTAGGATAACTGCTGTAGGCAGGGAGATGGATTTGTTTGTAGAAAACTTTATTAAAATGCATCCAAATGTCATTTTCATCAGGCCTGATGACTGTATTCGTAAATTACTGAAGCTCTTGAGATTTTACCTTTTCCAGCTACTGTCTATCTCTCAAACCCTATTATTTCAACATTTTCATTTCTGCATAAATACTATAGGGGAGAAAATGTAGAACTGAGTACACATATAGGGCAACTTTTGAACCCCCAAATAATTTGAAGCCAACATTAAATTTTTCTGGGGCAGTTGGTACCAGTCCTAGCAGATAATAAAGGTATGGGGAAGGCTTTGAAACTGAACAGTATACATTAGAATTATTTCGAGAAGATCATGAGTTGATATTTGAGAGGTTCAAATTTGTAGTGATAAAAAAACTCCGGTTTTTAGTCAGATCTGGATTTCTATGCTTGCCCACTACTTACTAGCAATGTATATTGAGTAAATCACTAAGTTACTTAATGACTTGTAGAAATAGAATCTTTTAGAAATAATGGGTAAAATTGACTGATTATTTAGAACAAACCTGGGCTGTAAAAATAATAGGCTTCATGTTTCCCCTAAACTAGGAGTTGCTGTCTGAAATTTCCCCAAGACATGACACACTTTGGCTCCCTCCCTGGGCCACCGTAGGACGGCCAGTGACATTGACGTACCCTGGAGTCGTAGCAGTCCGGGTCAGCCCCTTCTGCACAGCAGGCTTCCGTCAAGGAGACAACTTCCTCCACAAGCTGGCTGACTTGTTCAAATGTCCCACTGGGAAATTTCCTGCTATATAGGACTAGTGATCTGGGGGTGGGGGGGGGGAATAAGCCAATTTATTAATTAGAATTGAAATATTTTTCACATTTTGGCACACTAAAATATGAAATCTGTATAATTCAATGGAATATCGCATGCATTTACTTCCTTATTTGGCCAATGAAAAAATGAGGTTTATTTTAAAAGTTGTTTTTGTTCTAAGCAAATTTATCTTGTAAAGCAGTAGAAATTGGACTTGAGGCTGCATCAGATTAGTCTGGTATTATCTTTTTGTGCTTCCCCAGATGAACCTGTCCTGTAACTCATTGCCTTTGTTTTTTGCCAAAGTTCTAAAAAGTACTATTGAAGTTTTATTTACTTTAGAAAACTCTGCTTGCTTATTCTCTCTTAATGCATTCACAAACTTACTGGTGACAAATTCTTACACCATAGTAACTACAGGTCAACTGGAATCTTTGGATTTCCTCCATTTGCCTGACATCTCACCTACATTGATCCTGGAGCTCTAAAATCTTAGCAAAAGTCAATTGAAGCCCCTGTGCTGAATCCCAGTTACCTCGCACTCATTTCTGTTCAATATCAAGTAACCATGAGAGTGAGTGGATACTGCACACTTACAAAGATGTGAAGTCATCCTTTCCCAGGTTGGCGAATTCCTTGCAGACTTTATCCTTTTCATAATCTCGGCCTAGGAATCAGAAATAGAAAGATTTGTATCTTTTAATGAATGTTACATTAAATGTGTCTGTACAAAGGGATCCTCCACATGATCTATGGTGAAAGTAACATTTATCTCAATATCTATATGCAATTTAATTTTGGGAGTGTCTTTCTAGCTGTTTTTTCAAAATGGACCACAATTTAATGGCATGCTATTCTATGGTAACGGACAGTAGAAAACAAAGGAGGAGAGTGAGCTAATACTGAAAGTGAGTCAGAACCTGTTGACAAGGCAATCAATCATTCTTTTAGGTCCCATTGAGATAATCGTGCTAAAATGGGACTGTTTCTCTTTCCCTCTCTCCTTCCCACCTTCTTTCTCTCCCTTCCTCCCTTCATTGTCTCACTTTCACCTAAGGATTTCAAAGAAAAAAAGAAACAAAACAGGTGGAGATTATCTCTATTCCAAAGTGAGGGCAAGTGCCACTAATGCAGGCCCTAGCAGGGTGGGTGAGGGCCGGTGCTGCCTCACTTGCTCCTTGCCCACCTCAGGGCTCTGGAGCAGAAGGCTGGGAGTTCAGCTGGAGAAAAGATGGAAATTGGGCAAAGCATTTTTTGGAGAAAGTTGTCAGTGTGGTGACTCTGGGGAGAGGATGGGGAGTGTTTTCCCTCGCTTCCAGCACAGTGACAGGGGCTTTAGGGAAACCACTCAGGACCTGACAGGTGACTCTTAGAGTTTGGGGTACAATGGACAGGTGTCTGATTCAGGCTGGAGCAGGCTGGAGGGTGCGGGGCTGGTTACGTGGCCTGGAGGGCACAGGGAGAGGGTGTAAGGAGGAGGTTACAGTGTGTCTCACAGACCCGAAGTGGATCCAGCAGGAGAGCAACTGGCCTGGAGCTGTCTTAGATATTCCCACCCCCGCAAAGGGCTATCTACAGGGCAGTGGGCGCCCAACAGCGGGCACCTCTGTCTGAAGACAGAGAATTTGAACATCAGGGCCTCAAAGGGGAGTCTTAAGGTGTCGACGGGGTGCGAGAGATCTCCAGGGACGATGGGAGTGAGATCGCCAAAGGACCCACTAAGAGAAAATGCCAGCTCTGAATGTCTCCATAACTAGAAGAGACACTAGCCCACCACGCTGCCCATTGGATTTTTCCCTGCTGCTACCTCTCCTGCTAGCTTCTGCCTTCCCTGCCTTCGCCCCAGAGGAGCAGAAGCAGCCCAGAGAGTGGCAGGAAGGAGAAAATGACAACTGGCAGAGAGACAGAGGAAAGTGTCCGGGTTTCCCGTCCCTATCACAGGTAACAGAACTGAAACAGGCTGAATTGGGGAGTAGCTTCGACTTTCAATGAATTAAAAATATTTGACTATTAAATACACCCAGAATTCTTATGACTAAAAAGAAGTTGTTACTTTGGGGTTCTAAAGGACCAGAGGGCCTTTTTGTTATTTGAGGGGGAACAGAAAAATCACAAGACCTGCTCTTGAGTCCATGCACGCAACAGGGAAGAGCTAGTTCCTGCAGGGGGAGATGAATTATTTACTGATGGTGAGACCCGCTATTACATTTGTAATAGGGTTCAGTCAATGTTGCCCTTCCCTGATTCATTATTGATGCACGTAAGTTCCAGAAATTTCCTGACACCCTAATTTGATATCTTTGGAAAAAGTACAGGAAGTATATGAATGCCCTAGTCTCTAAGTGGCCTTAAATTTTACCAATTTATCATCCTGACTTTAAATGTTTGGAAAGTCATCTTAGGTGATGTGATGGTAACTGCAGTCACATGTGTGCCCCCAAAGAAGCCCTCATCTCTCTAACAGTTATAGTTCTATGGAAGCTAAACAAATAACTGGGTAGAAATTTTTGTTTTATGGTTTGGAGTGGAGGTGGGGATAGTTGGAGACAGGCTGGGGAGGGCATTTTTTCTTTTCTAAAAAAAGATTATTTTAGGATTGGTTAGATTCGATGATCAAAATTGCCTGTAGAGGAAGCTGTTGCCCCACATATTTTTCAGGTGGACAACCCAAAATTTATTTCTGAGGCGAGAAAAGTCAGAATTGTAAGACAAATATATTCTTAAGCAACACTTTGTAATAAAGGATCAACTCAAATACCATTAAAATCACATGGAAGGCAGAAAAGAACCCACGTGTTTGAATCTGATGTTATCTGACTATGAAACTAGGACGAGGGGGTGGCATTAATAAAACATTAATTGTCAGTGAAACACAAAAAGCCACTTGCAACAAACCTCTCTCATGTCTGAGAACCTTTACAGCTAGTGCATTTTCTGAAACTTATTGATTAGTTTGCAAGGTTGCATATTATGACAGTTTCAAAAGGTAAAAGTAAGGCAGAACACCTCCATTAATCATTAATGCTATTCTATGGGACTCGAGATTAGAACATAGAGGAGAAAAATTTAGGTCAGAACTGTCCTCATTTAGTGCTGAGCTGTGCTTGAGGATGTCAATACAGTTGTTTTGCTTCTAAAGTAGAGGCAGGAAAAATGGCTGATAGTTATAAGGCTTTTTATAGCCTTATGTTTTAGTTTAATGTAAAAAAACTTTGTTATAACTGTGGCTAATTTATGAAAGAAATGATAGCAGCCTTTTGAAGAAGTGAATTTGTCATTGTAAATATTCAAATGAATTTAAATAATCATATATATTAAAGATGCCTGAGTTTAGTACAGGATTGTGTCCTTAAAATGATCTTTAGGATCACTTGTCAGGGATTATAAATTAGTCCCTTTTAGAAATTGTAAGAGATCATATGGGTTTTTGTTCCCCAAAGCTTACTGTGTTTTAAGACATACAAAAAAATCTCTAATGAGAACTTCTTTTTCCTTTTAATGAATATGAGCTAACTTTGTTTAATAAACTCCCCCTCTAAAACAAAGAGGTCATTTTTGTCAGCACATTTATGCTCTGTTCTTTATTGTTCCATTTGGTTATAAAGATAGTGATCTGGACTTTGATATGGCCCCTGTAAATATTGGCATAGTCTTAGAGACTCTGGTGATTTCACATCGTGACCCCTTCAGTACCAAATGTTTACAAATTTCAGTAGCAGAAGTTTTGCTTTTTTGCAATAGCATGTCCCATTTTTTATCTATCTTGTGAAACATTCTGGTAAGTCATGTCTAACTCTGCACTTTTGAAAGCCAATTTGATTTACTTTTGGAAAATCTTTACTGCTTTACGCACCTTCTTTCCACAAAGCCAACAATATTCATTCATACATGCAACAAATATGTTTTGAGCCTTGCTCTGTGCCAGGCACTGGGTTTAGTATTGAATTCGAACACACACGGAGACCAAAATAGACACATCCTTGTCCTCATGGAAATGACTTTCATTCTAATGGCGCTAGACAATAAGATACTCACTGTCTTGTAACAAAGTTTACCAAAATTGGTATTTTGGATGCTTTCGCTAATGTTATAATCTTGCACTAAAGCATAATTTGATCCATAGGAAAGCTGTCTGCATACCAGGAGCAATGAATAGATTCTAAATAACATTGACTTGAATAGACACTTATCGAGGATGTTGGGAATTGCCTGAAGTTGCTATTTTCCTGTTGTGTTCTAGAGAATCATGGCCTTTCAGAGCTCTGTTGGGCATTTTATTAATACACTGTTATGATTTCATTTCTTTGGCATTTTTTGTTTCTTTTCTGCACTAGCAGGTTTATTTGTGTCAGAAAAGGTTAGTCTATTTGTTAGTATTTTTTTAAAAAATACTACCTTTTAAGAATATGATTTGCAGGGTTTCTTCAAACTAGTCAGAGTAGATATTGGTTATGTCAGAGTAGTGATTTTACTTGAAAAATTAAACACTGGTGAGCTAATTTATAAGAAGCTGCTCTGGTTACTAGAGACTGATCAAGAAATGGCAATTGAATTAACTATCTCTTATTTCCTTTTTCAGCTTTTTAAAAGTCATAATCACCATTTTTAATTATTATATGCAGCACTGATTTGGTTTTTCATATTGATATTGACGTTTCCAAGCAGGTAGGCAGTTTGCTGAGTTTGAGTCAATGGAAAGAATTGATTTCCTTTAATACTAAATCCAGAGACCTACCTGGCATCTATAGATTAATCTAGAGGAAATTAAATGTACCACTTAGGATGTTATCAGTAGAACAAGTCAAGCTTCATTTCAGATTTTGAAAAATCCAAAACCAATGAAAACAGTGGAAGACATAAGGTCAATGGGTTAGTTTCCTAGAAAACACAGCTGCAACACAGACTCACTCAAACTAATGTCCTTGGGCTCACCCCAGGATTAACCCCTGTCCTCTGTGACACTCATCAAAATTCCAGAGGAAGCATATTTCCTCCATGCATCTCATCCCACCTCTCCTTCGTTTTGTGGGCTGGTCCACTTCCTTATCTAACATTGCTTTTGCAGGTAATGATAGAGAAGGAAGTTTTCCTCTTTCACTTTTGGGCTGGATGAAGGTGATATGCCTTACGTCTTGATTCAGAAACTTAGAATGCATTGCACTGCTTAGGTTCAAAATCAATAGAAGGATAAATAATAATATCATCATAATAGTTAACATTCGTGTGCTAATAATTTGGTGGGTACTGCTTTAAATATTCAACATATGTTATCTCCTTTAATCCTCATGAAAATGCTATTATATTTATAGTTATCATAGTTCACCTCCAATGTTTACTATGTTTTTTTTTGTTGTTTTTTTTTTGAGACAGAGTCTCGCTCTGTTGCCCAGGCTAGGGTGAGTGCTGTGGCATCAGCCTAGCTCACAGCAACCTCAAACTCCTGGCCTCAAGCAATCCTCCTGCCTCAGCCTCCCAAGTAGCTGGGACTACAGGCATGTGCCACCATGCCCGGCTAATTCTTTCTATATATATTAGTTTGGCAATTAATTTCTTTCTATTTATAGTAGAGACCTCGGCCTCCCAGAGTGCTAGGATTACAGGCATGAGCCACCATGCCCAGCCTACTATGTATTTTTGTACATCACTTTTAAGAACTTCATCTCTGTG